TGCCGCCGCCGCCGCCTCGCCGCTGCTCTTCCTGCTCGCGTCTCTGCCCCCACCCTTCCCAGGCCCCTCTGCCCTAGAGCGCAGCCAATCCCCGCCTGCCGCCACGGGCTCCTCGCCCAATCGCCGCGGTCTTCCCGCCCTCCTCCCTGCCCCGCCCACGGGGTCATGCATTGGCCAATCATTATGCGATGCTCCCACACTGGCTTTCCCGGTTGGGCCACGGCGTCACCGACATGGCCCCAGTTAATTGGTAGCTCCCGGATTCAACCAGCCCGGAATGAGAGCGGGATCCCGGGCTGGGAAGGCCCCGAAGACTACAAGTGCCACAATGCACTTCATGGGCTTCTCTCGTCGGGTGCTCTCGGGAGGCGTAGTCCACCGTGGGGTGTGCTTTAAAAGTGCAGGTGGCTGTTGGAACTAAAAGAAGTTAGCTAACACCTGGGCTGGACACTAACTCAAAGCCTTGATTCTTTTGTTAGCCAAAATAAATATCAAGAAACATGCAATATAGTGTGTTAAACTCTTCCTCTTTAATTTGAAAAATTTTCATTGGAATAGTGATATCAGCCTTGAGGAAAAAAACACAACAGGTAGACTGAATTAGGGATATATATATATATAAAATTTTCGTTTTCCTCTCTCTGAATTAGAGGTATTTTTTAAACTTAGATAAATAAGACCCACAGGGTGAGGCAAAAGTAGGTTAACAGTTGTTTGTATGAAAAAACATACAATAATTAATAAATAATAACACAACAATAAACTGTATTTAACGTACTCACAAATAAGTCTACTTGTGCCCCCACCCCCTCCTGTATTTAAGGCCCCATGCTAGATGCTACCTGGACAAATTAGCCACTCCTGCCTGTTTCACTGTTTTCTAGTGTAGCGGAGAAAAAATAATTTTTTACTTGTACATTTTTTTGGCTGGTCTAATAATCTAGCATGAAATAGATGAACAGGAGAAAATAAACTCATTACATATGTATATACAAGGGTTCCCTAAGAATAATGGGACCCCAGGAAATGTCGGTCAGTTGAGGCTTATATGCCATTCAGGACTACCAAGAGGGAGACAGGGGTCTGAAATTTCTAAGGGAAAGTATGCAATTCACAAGTAGATGAGAAAGGTAAAAAATAAGATAAAGTAATTCTTGCTGGCCACCCAGAACCGATAGGACACAGAGGGAAGTCTAACGAACAGACTTTGTTTGGCTTCCCCCTGTCTGCCACACTTAGGTCATATTATGACGTTAAGGTGATCACTCCCTTCCTTTAAGCAGGTTTTTCTGAGTTCCTTTAGGTAAGTAAAGGGGGAGGTTCAAAGGTCCTTTCTGAGTCCTTTTGTTTTCTTAAAAATAACCAGCTTAAAGTAATAAATATCCCAAGAAGGCATATTTTGGGGAGGCAAACTCTGCTTCCCCTCCTGAGATTTCCACATTCATTAACACACTCTCACCTTCTCATGGGATCTCCTACCTTCTCCCCACTGTCCTTACTTCTTCTTCTTAGTCACAATTTTGGCATTTTTCCAGTTTCACTTGCATTTAGTCTTGACTGAGCCTTCGGTAACCAGGCCAATTCTCATTAATTTTCATTTTTTTAAGTGTCCACAGGACATTCAGAAGCTTGCTTTGTAAATAGGTTGTAAGCTTACTGAGCCCAGAGACAATTATATAATCCTGTGTATAGGTACATAGCACTGGGTAGGTAAATAGTATATATAGGTATATAGCTATATATACCTATTGCTAGCTACTACGTATATTGCTAGCTACTACGACTAGATAATTATTTATTGATAGATATGTCTTACCTCTAAAGCATTTGAATAATAAGATTCAAAGTACTTGTTATCTACTATAAGTTTAATCTTAAAATGTCTTACAGTGAAATATTAAGGAGCATTTGTACCCCAATTATGCAGAAAATTTACTTCACTCATCTGCACCTCATCTATAAAATGGGTATGTTAATAATACCCTCTTCACCAGGTCTGTTGTGAGGTTCAAAAGACATATGCAGAAAAAAAGTTCTTCCTTCATTACAGAATGTTCTACAGATATTATTTCTCATTGATTGCTTGGTTGAAGCAAAGGCACAAAGAATACGAAAAAGTTAGTTTTATTAAGATGAATAATATTAGTTTCATCCCCTTAATTTAAAAAAAGGTTTAGAGCTATTGTCTTTAGCCAGCAATGAGTGATATACCTGTTCTGACACTGCTCATAGGACCTTGACTTTTGGGGGAAATTTCAAGTCTCCAAAGCAGGTATTGAATACATTGTGGAAAGCCAGCTTTATTTGATCAGCTTGCTATAAGCATGACAATTAGTTGGTGAAAAGGTTGTGAATTCTCCATAGCCTTTATCCAGCATACACTCCTCAAGGTTTCCTGTCAACATTCCCAGGAAAAGTTATGTACTCACTCTACTAGCACAAACTGTAAAATTATTTATTAATTCATAGACTTCTTTAATATTTGTTCAGCTGTCTGTCCTCTGTTTACGTTGTCCATATCAGTGTTCTGAGTCATTGTCATAGATTACCAAGGTGCAGAAAACCTGTTTTCTCTGCATTACAGCACAGCATAAGGCCCAGATAATAAATGCCTTTTATGTGGATAACACTGATGTAACCTTATTCCACTGAAATGAATCAAGCAATCAGTAAATATTGAGACCCTCCTGGAAGTGTTGAGGACTTAAATCTAGCTTGCTCTCCATGTGAGGATGGTGAGACAGTGCTGAGAGCCTTTTCCTGAGAATGGAGTGTTTGTCGCTAACTCTAGTCCACTATATCCTTTTCTGTGCTATTCTTAGGGATCTATTTGAGTTGGCAGTGAGGGCAGGCTGCCAGAGCTTGTATCAACATATCTGCCAGGGTAAAACTAGGGAGAGGCAAGGAGTAAAATATCCCCCCCCATACACACACCAGAGCTTGGAGAAGAATATACTTTCTTTGATACTCACAAAGTGAATTAAAGTCATTATTTTTGTGTTCCTTTTCCATGGGTAAATGAAAATATAAATCCTTGCACCATATTGTGAGATAGAACCTGGTATCTCACATGTACATTCTGATCTCCTTGAATAAATGGACAATGGCTTTTTTTGTTGTTACTCCTCATCCAAGGATATTTTCCCATTAATTTTTAGAGAGAGTGGAAGGGAAGAAGGAAGACGGGGAAGTGAGGGAGAGAGAGAAAATGAGAGAGAGAGAGTAAAAGAAATATCGGTGTGAGACAGACACCTAGATTGGTTGCCTCTATGGCAGGGAATACATGCCCTTAACCAGGAGTTGAACCCAAGATCCTTCAGTGTGCAGGCCCAGGCTCTAACCACTTAGCACACTGGGCAGGGCTGGACATGGTTTTATTTAATTTTTTTAAAATATATTTTTATTGCCCTGACTGGTTTGGCTCAGTGGATAGAGCGTCGGCCTGCGGACTCAAGGGTCCCAGGTTCGATTCCTGTCAAGGGCATGTACCTTGCAAGATCAGGGACTGAGCCAGCAACCTGGGCATATGCCCTGACCAGGAATCAAACTGTGACCTATTGGTTCATAGGTCAATGCTCAACCACTGAGCCACCACAGCCAGACTGGACAATGGCTTTATACCTCATCATATCACCTGTAATCCCAGGTACATATCTATATATATTTAAAGAGTTAATATACAAATTAGGCAGGGACGCTGTAATGGTCACGACCAGCTCAGGAGGAGGGGCCTGATGTGGGCCCAGAGCCTTAGAGAAGAACAGTCAGGGTGGCCAGTGCCCGACAAGACACAAACCCGCAGGTGGGGGGCAGCCCCCAGCCCCAGCCCTGCTGCTGTGGCACTAGGCTGCTGGGGCCAGAGAGGAGACACAAATCCACAGGGGGGGTCGGGTTCGATTCTGATCAAGGGCATGTACCTAGGTTGCAGGGTCCTCCCTGGCCAGGGCCCAGGTCAAGGCTCATGCAGGAGGCAACCAATCAAAGTGTGCCTCTCACATTGATGTTTCTCTCTGTCTTTCCCTCTCTCTAAAAATCAATGGGAAAATATCCTCATGTGAGAATAAAAAAGAAAGAAAGAAATCCTATGAAGGAGTATCTTGAAAATGCCTAAAGAAAGTTGTCATTGTTTCATGGTGAAGGGACTGGAGTCAGTGTTGATGAAAACACCTTGGTGGATGTGGTGGCCAGCAGTGGCAGCAGCAGCGAAGCAATGGGGGTGGTGCCTTCCCCTGATCAGTCCAGTTGCCTCCTGAAGAGGGAGGCTAGCCTGCTGTGGCAAGCGGGCCTAAACCATCAGTAGGACATCCCCTGAGGGCTCCTGGACTGTGAGAGGGGGCAGGGTGGGCTGAGGGACTCTCCACCCAGTGCACAAATTTTGTGCACCGGGCCTCTAGTTTAGGAATAAAAATAAATAAGCGTTGAATGTTTATTGTCACTTTCCGTGATTATCAAGTGCGATAAAGGTCAGAGTATAGGTCTCAGGTTGTAGAGCAGTGTACTTAAAACACTTACACTCTGCCCTAGCTGGTTTGGCTCAGTGGATAGAGCATTGGCCTGTAGACTGAAGGGTGCCAGGTTTGATTCCAATCAAGGGCACATGCCTGGATTGTGGACTCGATCCCCAATAGGGGGTGTGCAAAAGGCAACCAACCCATGATTCTCTCTCATCATTGATGTTTCTATCTCTCTCTCCCTCTCCCTTCCTCTCTGAAATCAATAAAAATATATTAAAAACAACAACAACAACTACAAAACACCTAAGCTCTGAAGCTGAGAGAATGAAAGAGGTGGTGTGTGTGTGTGTGTTCAGGCTCTATTTACCAAGTTTTATCCTGAAGTGACATTTACTTTGGAAGCGTGTATTCTTTCTGAGTGGAGTTGATTCATATCAGGCAAAGGAAAAGCCAGGATACCTCCATACCCTGAATAAATGGACAGGCATCTTTTGGTCTCCCCTTTGATTTGTTAACT